TGGCCAGATGCATAAGAGCCTCTTCCCATTTTCGCTCTGCTTGTGGAGGGGCAGTTGACTGGAGGCTTAGCCAGTCATCTGCATCTTATGAGCAATTGCCGTTTGGCTGCCTGTGCTGGGTCAAGTGCGAAGAGTGGCTGGTGCTGCGGGGTGATCTGAACTGTCAGTCATGGGAAGCTGCAAGGCAGTGGGGACTGCTAATGTTGACATTTATGGGTTTCCCTGGGGTGTGAGCACCGGCTCAGCCGAGCACTGTCCTGCCATCGCCACGACTATCATTGGTTCCTGCATCTTTGAAAAGGATGTGGTAAGTCTTTTTTAACTAGAAAAATGGCATTGCACAATAGTGAACCCTGTTAGTGCAGAAAATTAAAAGGAAGGGAAGAGCACTGGTGCAGCAAATGCCCATTCTATGTCTGCCCTTTCCTGTCCTTCTCCCTGTTTCATAATCCAGCTGGCTGCTGACTTGTGGTACCTCAGCTGGGCAGACTGACTTGGAGGCCAAGACAGGATCAGTTTATTTCCATTCCTTATGTTGCCCCTTGGCTAAGCAAAGGTCATAATTGAAAGTTAGTGTGAATGACAATATAAAGATCGTTTGGGGACCTAGGAGAGCAATGAGTGTTGTTATAATTTCCTCTTAAAGTAAATAGAAAAGTCAAAATTCAATATTGATTTGTGGCCTCTGCAATGCTGTTCATTGCAGAGAGAGAGCAGCAGTGTGAATCCTGAGTCTGGTGCATATGTAGTTGATGGCAATCTGATTGACAAAAGTGAATTTAAAGATGGCATTAATAGTGAGGCTTACACTGAAAGTTGCGCCACATTTTATTGTATGTCCCTGTTTTGAGTCGCTTATAGTATTGCTGAAGTTCTGTCATCTGGATTGAATATTTCCATGCCTGTTTCTACTTCATTTTTTCTGAGAAAAGTGAAGTTAAAACAGATCAACCATTTCTGAGAACACAGAAAAAATTATTTTTTTCAGGGCTAAAAGGTTTCTTATTACTCTCTCACCAAGAAGATTTATCAGTACTGTGGTCTGCCATAGGGATCAGAAATTAGGTGAGTCATATTAGCATAATGGATATAATTTTAGCTGTCATCATGAAAATCCCCTCACCCTTGGATAAATTATGGGTTGTTGAAAAATGTTGTGTTTTACATGTTCAGCAGGGGAACTGTTAAATTTTTGAGGTGACAAAGGTCAGAGATGTGGAAAGGGGAAATATTTTGTTTCTTCATTTGCAACTTTTGCAAATCAAAGACTGTTGCTAGTTGGAAAGCACCACAGCAGTCAGCGGTGTTATTAACGAGGACACCGCTACCATCACCACCTTTCACCAACCCACCCCAATCAATCCGTGCCCGGTGATATGGGAGCAACTATGGGAAATAAAAGCAAGAAAGACTGAAGGAGGCAACCATAGCGCAAACCAGGATTGCACACACCAGGACTGACAAGACTGGCAATATCAGTAGGAGAATGATGACAAGGATGAACAGCGAGGAGGACACATGTATCTGCTACTGCCTTTGAACGATCACTGAAGCATTTTGGGATGACTGTGTCTTGAGTGCAGAGGTAACCAAAGGAGGTGCAGCAGAGCTGACGCACAGACTGCAATCCCAAAGGCTTTTCAAGAGGACACTGCTACAGTGCAGAAGCAGCTTTTGTGCTGTGTGCCAGTACAAAAAGAAAGCAAGAGGAAGCCAGAGATTAATGATGAAGAATGAGAGAAAGCAGGTGAACACACAAACCTGTGATGGTGGCTTAATCTGCCAGTCTGATGCAGTGGATGATAAACACAGCTACATGGTTAAATTTTATGGAGCTTCTGCCTGCACTGAGGGTGCTCTTGCCTCCCACAAGCAATGAGATTACACGTATACCATCCCCATAGTATAACTGGACATGCACCACTCATCCTGTGATCAGCCAGGATTTTCCCTCTAATTTATTCTCCTGTCTCTTGCAGACCGCACATGAAGCCAAGTCCTGGAACTAAAAGCAGGGAGATTCTCTCTCCTATGTATGTCATGCTGTATGTATGTGTTTAGAAGGAGGAGGAAACTTCTGTGATGACATGCAGAGAGGTAAATAGTTTGGGAGAACAGAAGCAACAAGCACCTGGGTAGAAGCTCATTGAGTAAATAGATTTGCAAGTATGAGTGCATGGAGTCAGATGCAAGAATCGAGGGGCCAAAATAAGGAAGGAGGAATAGAGTGGCAGTGATTTTCCCAGAGAGTTATGTAATTATTCACAAGGGATGATGCCGTAAAAATCAATCATGATTACATAGGAGAATTTTATCTGTAGAACCCTTATCTCCTTGCTTATTGAGCTGAGAGGTATGAGGCAACAATCATCACTATAGTCATGACAATAATGATAATGCAAAAGGGAACAAAGAGAGTTGCAAGGACATCCTGAACCATGGCATTTTCCAATTTCTGAGTGCTTGTCTTTACAGTTGGAAAATGCTAGATTATTGTTGCTATGTTTTTGAATATTTGAATGTATAAAAAAGTACAGTAATTAAGGGTATCCTAAGGGCTACTTGAAGAAAAAGAAGTTGGTTACACACAAGCAAATACTAAAATGGCAACAGAATCAAAAAAGACCAAGACAAGAAAACATTTAATGGGTATATAAATTACATTAAAAAAATCACTCTAACAACCAGCAAAACTTGTAGTGGAAACTAGATTTGAATCAATGGAAACTACAGAAAGTAAATCAAATGAGTACAGCTTTTATCTTCAGAAGAGATTAGTTATAGGTTAACACTTTCAAGGCTAAGCACAGAAGTGGCTTGATTTTCAGAGAAGGCCACTTGCTTAGTGCCTTAAATATGAATGTTTGATGGAATTAATCTTGCCCGATTTAGACATCTAAGAATTTTCATTTTAAATCTAAGCTAGTTGTATTAGGCTGGCTCTGAAATCGCTGAAGAGAAATAGCATCTTCGGAGAGTAAATCATTTCCTCTATCATCTTAGATGCCAGTCTTACCATCAGATGACTTGTGCTCAAAAGATGCCTATTCTTCTCCATTACTGACAAAGGAGCTTAAGATAACTGAGACTTGAATGATCCACTTTCAGGCAATTAAGGACATGAAATGAATCCTATTAGTCTTAGTGTCTAAGATAAGGCATCTACATTGGAAAACGGTAGCCATAATAGCTATTAATAAGGACATATCAAAACAACTAACTGTTGCAGATTGTGCTCTGCATACTTGAACAGTTAGCTCTCTAGAAGGGTGGACCAAGCAGTGCAGATACAGAGAAATCAGCCAGGGGCAGACCGGGTTGGTAGTAAGCAAAAATGCAAAACTCAGTTTTGGAGGCTGACATGCAACAAAGTCTCTGGGACCACAGTCACCCAAAGACGGCATGCTTTCTCCTGGTTCATCTGTATTTTGACTTCAGTTTGCATGAGTTATTTCCTGGAGCTCTTCGGGGGCTTTGGGGGATTTGTCTATATGCATGGGTTTGTTTGATTGTAACATTTCCCTTTCCAGCATCTAGACATCTCATTTAAGCAGCCTTTTCAGATTCTTATGCTCTTTAGACTGAATTGAGAAGAAGATGAGAAACAGGAAATGCCCCAACAGGATTTATTAACCCTCTCCCCAGAAACCTTCTTACTTTTCTTGCTTGAGACCATACAGCTGTCTGGGTCAGCACTCTTTCTTATTCCCTTCCTTCTTCACCTTTGCTCTTAATGCCAGAATCAGCCAGTTTCTGGTGTGGCAGTTTTTACAAGGTGGCTTAATTATTAAGCAGTAGTGTGTTGGCAGGCAGATGAGAAGAGCTGGTTAGATATGAGAGTGCATGAGAATGTAGCTGGTCCCTGAAGATGGCCGTAAGAGGGATTCATGCTTTACTGGTACCTGTTTGCTTCTCTTCCGCTCCAATGAATGGGGCAAGAAGCAAGTGTGCTAACCCTGCCCTGGGGTGCATCAGTACGTGCAGCAGGGCCAGAGGAAAATTTCAGTGAATAGAGGTTCATATGGCTGTGACCAGGAGAGATTGTGCTATCTTGAAGCACAGTCTCAGGGATGTCTTCTGGGATTCCTTCTGGTGTAGCTCCCCTCTGCTTTCTGCTCCTGGCCTACACCAGGATCTGCACCTAACTTCTGAACTTCCAACTTCTGTGCTCATTTGTGAGCTGGAAACAGACGTGAGCCCCTCTGTTGGGCTCAAGACCCCAAAAGATATGATAAGCTAATAGGTTTCTGTTGCAGGCAGAAGGAGGGCTGTGACCCTTACTTTGGGAATTGCCATCAGTTTGGAAATTGTGGTTATTTTCAGTCATTTGGTGAGTCATCTAGGAAAATTATTCTCCCTTCCCCTCTGGTTCTGTTGAAAACTAAATCACTTTTAGAGCACTAAATAGAAAAGACAAATTCAGGGTAAAGCTAAGAGTGTGTGGGTGTTCAGTTCATATAGTGTCAACTGGTAGTTTATTCTCACAAAAATACACCTTTTGTTACTGCACCTCTCCTTGAATATGTCTGACCGCATAGATGGTTTCACTATTTTACTTTGCAAACACAAATTCCTTTCACTTCATTTATTAGAATTGCTGTGTGTCCAAGTAGGGCATCTTTTGTGCAACATCATACCAAATTGATACAGTTAATTAAGAGACTTTAAAAATATGTATGTGAATGGCAAAGATTTTTGAAACATGAAACTTCAACAATTTAAAATTATTTTGTTGAATGAGATGACTCATGCCTGGGAAAAAAAAGATCTTGTAATTTTGTTATGTTTTCCTATCATTAAGAAAGTACTATGCTTCAAGCAGATGAAGGATATCAGACCCATTATTTCTGGATAGTATTAGCAAAGAGAAGTGCGTTACATATGTCTACAGATATATGTGAGTGTTTTAGCACCCACTTTTTACTTTTATTTAAAAAAAGAAAAGGTTTCAAATTTGGGGACAAAGTAGAGCTGTGATTTGTAGAAGACAAGCCTGAACACACGAATGTCTTCAATCTACTGCTTCCATGTCTGTATCTCCTGCTTGCTCTGTGGATTGACCTTGAACAGGCTGCTCCACTGGATCTTCCACACATTCTGCAGCTTTTGGTACACTTTTCGTGGACTTTGGCATGTTCCCAAAGGGAGCAGGCCTGTTCTGAGTGGGTTTTGGCATGCTTTTTGGGGTTGCTGGCATGTTTTCAGTGGGCTTTGGCATATTCTCGGTGGGTCCTGGCATGCTCTCAGCAGGTACAGGCACATTTTCTGTGGGTGTTTGCGCTCTTCCTGGGAGCGTGGACATGTTTCTGGTGGGCTTTGGCATGTTCTCGGTGGGCATTGTCATGTTTTCAGTGGGTGCTGGTGTGCTCCCAGTGGGCACGAGCACTGGTGCATGTTCCGTGGGTGTTGGTGCACTTGTGCTGGGCTGCTCAGAATGACTCCAGGCCTCTGACCATGGGGTGAGATGAGAGGCAACCTCTGGTGCCATAGGAGAAAGAGCATTACATGTTTGAGTGTCACAGGTCTCTGTAGTGCTGTTCTCACTTGGGAGGGACTTCTCTGCATTGTGGGACACCATGAAAGCTTCAGCCAGATCCTTCAGCATATTCTGATCAGTAGTGGGCAGCTCAATACCAGTCTTCTCAGAGGAGGAGGGGCTTGTATCAGTATCTTCTTCTGAGATGTCATTTTCATTTGTCTCTTCAGGGAACTGGGCTTGTTTTATTTTTTTGTATAGTTCATTCCTCTCTTCCTGCAGAGCTCTGCACAGGTTCTCTAGCCTCTGGATTTTCAATACGAAGCACTCATACTCCTTGGACCTCATGGCTTTCTGTGATCAAAGATATTCAATAAAGGCACAGACTGAGTTCATGTGTATGCAATTCAGTGATGGAATTGGCAATTAGGAAACAATTTCAGATCTGGGCAGCCCTCATAGAGCTCTGCAAGGTAGTGCTTTCATAAAATACTCTAAAATAATCGTGATCTTAAGCACTGAAGTTTCAAGAGGAAATTCACCCCTGTTGCCATAGCTTATTAGCATTCTCCATGCAGATTTAGATCAATTTCACTTAGAAATATATGCAGGAATACCTGTCAATGATCTGTAAAGGTGGAAGAACATACTGGACGTTTGTACAGAAAATCATCCAAAAGCTTATCTGGACTTCTGGTGGGACTGGGCTGGAACTGAGGAAACAGGCTGTATCATACTTTTGGTTTATTTTGCTCCCAGGTTCTGTGACAGCAATGTGAATTGAAGCACTTTCTTGCTTTTACACCCAGTGAGGAATCAAGAGATACAGGAATCCAGAGAAATAATAGCTCAGAGCTACAAAGCTAACCAGAAAGACCTGGTCCAAGTTCAGTGTAAGTTTGGGGTGAAACTTCAGGCAGCCTCTTACCTTTTGTGAATGAATTCCAGAACGCTTACTAACTTCCTCTGCAATACCTGTGTGACAGCATGTTTAAAACTATGGTGAGCCATAGTACTTGCTTTTGGCTTTTAGAATTTGCCTACACAGCAAGCTAACAAAAGGTGTGAATTTAAAGTTCATTAGCTGGAGCACATTAATTCCCTGGGTGGATGCTCTTAGGCAGAAAGAAACTAGCATTAAGTGGACTAGTGCCAACTTACTTCAGCATGAGAGCATTAAAAATCATGCATTTTTAGAGCAGCACTTAAAATTCACACTGTGGCACAATTCAGTTTTTTGTGGACATAATGAATGTCTCTATCTACACTTTAAAAGTCCCAGCAGTTGATTGTGATTGTGGTTTTTGTCATTTTCTTTGAAGAGATCTCATTATCAAGATAGATTGAAAAAGAACCCTTAAACTAAAGAACAAACTTGGCATTTACTTTTGGCAGTTTCAGGTCATCTCATCTCCCATTAAAAGCACTATGTGGAAGCAGTGGCGCACCATGAGATGAAAAAGACTGCTCACCTCTTCAATCATGTCCAGTAACGCTCTGTTACAGTTCTCAAACCTGGATTTCCATGTAGCAGTATCCTTTTCCAACTTCTTCATTTTCTTTGTCATCTACAGAAGCAGGAAGAAAAACTGATTCACAGCGCTAATTCCACATAGTGGATGAAATTAGGGCAGCCCCTTTACTTAGGTCTTTCGTCGTACTCATAACACTGCTACCAGCAACTGTAAAGACTATGCTAAGAAATAATTTATGTTAAGGGATAGATCTAGTTTTAAATCTGTGCTATACAACTTTCAGCTTCTAGTCTGAAGCCCCAAAGTAGGACCAATTGATTCTGGGGTTAAAAGAATAGCCAACACCCAGAGTACAAACTATAGCAAAATCGAAAGGCAAAGAAAAGGTGGCATTATTTTGTTTATCTCTTTACCAGACCACAGGTTTGAATCACTGTGAAGTTAAAGAAGGGTTTACATCTTCTGAGCCTCCATTGTCAAGGAAATTTCTTCTGGATTAGTCACCTCTGTACTACTTTCAACAGATATCACTAGCTAAATAGCAGCATCTTCCCCTTTGATAGTCTGCAGGTGAAATTCTCACTGAGGATCATTAGAGGTTGTCCGGGGCATCAGGGCATCAGGATTTTGGGTCCTGGTACTAGAGCAGACCATTATGTATCTGAAAGGGAGGGCAACATGTGGATGCCTTTGGTTTTTGACTCCCGTTCCCTACAGTAAATAAGTATACCAGCTGCAAGGAGGCAGACAGCTGGGCTTAATGGTTTATGTTGATTTGTGTACAGCGTTAATTGGCCATCACACACTGCCTTAGGCGTTTTGGGGAGTAAAGGGTTGTAGCCCTCCAAGGTAAGGAGTCTCTAGTGTGGGAGATCCTCTGATGGTTCTTGACACTTGGGCTCAACCTGAATCATAGCCCCAAGCCTTGTGATGCTGGGAATGGTGTTGGTGGGCATCAGCTCTGCCCTTGCACTCCAGCAGGAAGACACGTAGTCAATGTCAACCTTTCTCTACTGGCATGAGTCACCCAGGAGTGTTTCTTGGGACTCTGATCCACATGGGCTGACAATTGCAGCTGCAGACACTCCCTTCAGTATCTCTGATGGGTCTGCACCCAGCCATCAGACTAGGTTTTAGGTAAAATGCTTATTCTTTCAGGCAGTTTTTATTTTAGCTGAAGGGGAGGGTGAGATGTTCACCTTGCAGTGCTACAAGCTAAGCTGCTGTCAGTCATCAGAGGTTCATTGCACCAGTGGGTGGCCTCAAACTTTCTCGGAGAACCAGTTCCTGGATCTTTTGCCATGCTCTATGTACGCTATCCTTCGACAAAGGAAATCAGAAATGTATGAAAAATGCCAGAATAAGATGTTAACGTTTTTGACATGGCTGAGTGTGCCCCACATCTTATTCGCGCACTGATGAATCTGTTGTTCTCCAAAACGGGCAGATATGTCCCTACCCCAGAAAAAAATATTGCAGTGAGAAATGTCAGACTCTAAAAGGAGAGTACTGAGTACAGAGTTCAGAAAAGGGTTTTTACTCACTTTCTCCATCTCCTGTTTGAAACTGGCAAACACTTCATTGCTTTTGGTCAATGTTTTCTGAAATTCTTCAAACCTTTCAGAGTAGAGAGTGATCTACATTAACAGGAAAAAAAACCAAAATAATTTGATCCTCTAGGAGAGCAAACTGAATTGCCTTATTTTGGTAGAAGATAATAAAATAAGTATGCTTTTTGGACTTGTAAATTAGCTCCTGTTTTTGGAGGTCGTAAAGCACAAACATTAGGGAATTGAAACTCTCTGCATCTTTATAAGGCTGCAAACTATTATGATTCCTCTGTTATAGAAAGGTAAACTGAGAAAGAATAGAAAGACTCAGGCCAATCGTTTTAAAAAGAATGATAATTATGGGGACACAGTTTTTTCTGAATGTTGCACTTTTGGTGACTTACATGGGGTGCCCAGAAGTGAAAGAATTCCCCAGGAGCGGAGACTTCTGAAACCATTCCCCTAAGTAACTCTGTGGAGACTTTTCAAGAGGACAGCAGCAAAGTCTGAAAATTTCCACTCCCTGGCTTTCCTCCCAAGCCCTGTATATTTTCCTGGATACAGTTGTGGCTGACAACTACAGGAAAGGACTAGGAGGACCTGTAGAATGGAAAACTCTAAGGTGTGAGGTAACTGAGCCATCTTTGTGGGTGCACTGGGCTGCCAACGAGTGGGCAGGGACTAAGCCGAGCTGGTCTGACCACTGATATGTGCAGTACCAGGCAGTGGGACTGGTTTATTGCAAGAATCAGGGGGGTGCAGTGCCTAAAGTAGAAGTCGGCCTTGCTTTGCTGTGCAGACATATAACTCTATAACTCTATACTCTCTGCATACTCTAGCTTTAAGCTGGGGCGGGGGTGTGAGCTCTGGCAAGCTTTAGGCAAGGAGCTTGATATAGCTTAGCTGCTCAGCTATTTGCCCGATTTCTCGGGTACCCAACAAGTCAGGCTGGGTGCTGTGTGCTACCCTAGCTACACTGCTTTTGGTGTCTGAGTGAGCTGGCTTACGAGGGTTCAGGCATCCCAGCATCACACTGCGGGCGCAGTTTCCCCTCTCACTACCTTTCCAATCCCTGCTCCATGGCTCAGCTTTGTGACCAGGAGGGGCATTAGGCAGCACTCGATGAGCAAGCAAAGGGCGCCCCACAGCTGCGTCCTTCCTGCAGTATCTGACCTGCAGGGCAGCCCCACCACTGAGCGAGTACCCACTCTGCGCCTCACGTGGCTGCGGGGCTGCCTTCAAGTTGCATCTCCGAACTGCAGCTCGAGTGACTTGAGAGAGCATTTTGTCAGCTCTGTTTTGTAGCGTGCATGTGGCCCAAAGCTGCAGGCAGGGCCAGCAGAGGTAGAGGAAGCAATCTCCTGGCAGCCCCCTGTGCCAATTCCCCTGCACTTCATGAAGCAGCGCAGAAAACAGATCTGTTGCAATGTGGCAGCAGTTAAGACTATCATGACTCCGTATTTTGCTATCAGTTTACCCCATGGCAGCCATACAAAAGTTCATCTGTGGCTGGATTTTGTCAGTAAGCTGTGTTTTTATATGTAAAATCTGTGGATGTTCTTGAAAAATGGAGTCTGTAGATCTCAGCTTAATTGTTCTGTAAGTTTCTCTTAGTTTCCACTTTTCCTATTTTTTTGGGTGGTAAATCATTTTCAAAGTGTCAAAAGTATACCAGGTGCAAAATAAATAGAGTACAGTTATCTGCCCTTCTGAAAAAAACCAAAAAACGGATCAGAGGATTCAAGTACTTCATTCTGATTCCAGAGCACCCCTCGACAATGCTTAGATGATCAGACAGTTCATCTGCCCAGCCTGACAGCTCTGGGTAGAATAAGAGCGATGGGTGTAATGTACGCTGGCCAAGGCAGGGTGGTCACTGTGCAATGGGAGGTTCAAAAGCAGCCTACAAACCCAGACGTTTGGCTAGAGGCTGGCTGCCCTTTCCCACACCTGCAGGGAGCTGACTAAATGCTTACCTAGGAGCTTTTATTTTATTTGGTGTTAGCCAACATATACCCTCCCCTGACACTTCTATTCAGTTAGTGAGAAAAAGAAGAAGATTTAGAAAATGTTGCTGATAATGGTGTGGGTTTAACTGTGAATTTGAAATCAGATATGTTATGATTTATGGTGATGCTGGTTAGTTGCTAGGGTGCCCTAGGGCGCGTCATTGCCATAATTGCAGTGTAATGTGGATGTGGCTGTGCTAAGTTTAGACGAGGCGGCTTGGGTCTCTGTGGCCGCGTGGCTGCCCGCGGTGGGGAATACACTGCCGGCTGCAGTCCTTCCCCACAGCGCTGGGTAAATGCATGGGAGGTTAAGCTGTGCAGAGCTCTCTGTTGCCAATATTGGATCCAGCTGACTTAAAGCTTGCGTGTGTATATTTATACTGTGCTGTAGCCAGAGCTGTAACATATGCATAAACATAAATCCAGAATGATTTATTTTAGCAGCCCGAGTGCCACAGCGTAAGCGGGACACTGATACAAATGGAGCCCTCCGGAATATGAGAAGTGCCTGACGGTCCTATCGAGGGGGTGAGGAAGCAGCGGGGGGATCAGCAAATTGGGGCTCCTAGCTTAGAGCCGTGTTCTTAAAAAGTCACCCCAATTCCCTGTCTCTGCTTTCCCCTCCCAGCTTTCGCCTCTTCTTTCATTAGATTAAAAACCTTTCAGGTTTGAGCAGGGCGAGCTCTGATCTCGGCTGGGGCCCTCAGCACTACTATAGTACAAACAATAGCTTCTGCAATCTAAATTTGAATAATAAGCAACGAGTGAATGTTTTTATAGTGGCTGGGAAGGGACTGTGGGAGCTCTCTCTCACTGTGAGCATGTATGTGTGCTCCTCTGTTAGGGAGGCAAGGACCACTTAGCTGCGCTCCACTGTCCTTGCACTTTCCTCCATGAAAGAGCACGAGGAGTGCTGCTGGGCAGGTAAGAACGTAAGTGTAGGGCTTCAGGAAAAGGGGGCATTTTAACGTTGCCATGCTGTGAAGGTGATCCCCCCAGGCTGCTGTTATAGTGAGGACTCCCCTTCGACCTTTCTACATTCTTCTCGGTTGTCATATGCCAGTGCTTATATTATGCAGACTACCAAAAATTAAAGGCCTCAGCTAACTTTTATCTCCTTGCTTTGTTTCAAAACACAAAGCTAAAAGAGTCAGCATAAGCAATGCGCCCAGGGAGGGTTTGCATCATCTTGGGAAGCACCACCACAATTTGGGTGTAATTCATGAGCTGGTGCCAAAACCCTGTAACCATTTGGAGAGCTGGATTCAGCCATGTCAGGCACCCTGTGCCGTCCAAAGAGACTAGCAGGCAAGAAGCTAATGCCCTCTGGTTCCTTTCAACTCAAGTGTAGGATGTTCACCATCTCCTCTAAAATGGAGCAGTATCTCACTTGCAGTGAGGGCTGCATTATGGCTTCTCCTTGTCATGTTGACCAATATCCTCTCATAATTTTCATACACTCTTGCCTCCATTAATATCCACTGGCTATTTTACGCTCTTGCTATCAAGGACACTCTTTGTTTTGTGTTTGCACAGCAGCTTGCGCAGTGGCATGTGGTCCATGAGGGAGGCCCTTCAGCGCTGCCGTATTGGAAATAATGATAGTAATTCCCAGTAATTCGAAATGGATGCTGCTGTGAAAGTGACAGAGCTCTCAGACTTGAGCAGAATACCCAAGTACGTGTTTCATTTCAGCAAGTAAATACCTTCATTTTCATCTAAGCAAGGCTGCAAGGGGCACATGTATTATCAATGCCTTTGCAGACTTGTTCGACTGGATTTTTTTCAAAAACAATTTTACCATTTCAAATGTATGCTTAATATATTCTGTTTTTTATCAGTACCTTCAGTTTCATTAAACTGGCTACAGAGGTCTGCCTGCATACAAAACTCTTTCTAGGTGAACATAAAAGTTTAATTAAAACCACTCTGAGAAAATTGGGAACAGGTTTGCAGTTGGGACTGACTTAGCTGGAGGCCTTTGAGGTTTGATTGCAGAACCTGTCAAACTGGCGTCAGCAACTGTTTATGCGATATTCTTCGGTGTGCTACCTGCTTATCTTAGCCTTTGAAAAACCACATGAAGAACCAAACCCCTGTTTCCAGATTGTCAGTTTAACACTAGCCTTACTTGATTGCTCGGCAGGCAGAAATGAGCCCATCTGCAAGGGCAGAGCTCGGACAGCTCCCCAGAAGGATGTCCCACGAGCCATGGGTAGGAAGGGGATGCAGTGTGGGAAGGGGCCTGGCTGACGGGCCAGGAGCTGAGCGGCTGCAGAGGGGGCTGAAGCACCGACTGCTCCAGGAGCTCTGCTGAGGGATGACCGTTCTCACTGACGTTTAGAAGAAGGTAAACCTCCATGATTGTTTCTGTAAATCTAGGAAAATCGTCTGTTTTTGATGCGGAAGTCTGGCATACCACCTTATTTTCTCACTCACATTCAAGGTGGGTTACTGTGTTGCTACTCAAAGTGTAGCTTTGTATCTGCTACCTATTTCTTGGTCTTTACTGCCTTTCACTCCAGCCTGACTTTTAATGTAGTTTTGGCACATCATTATATTTTACTGAATGTTCCAAACCTTGACTAAATACTGAAATCCTAGAGGGCCATTTGTGTAAGTTCTCAGAAGGCAAATTCCCGCTGAAGCTAATGAAAACCCCAGTTCAGAGAAACACATGAACTTTTTGGCTCTAGTTTGCCAAATGTGTTTTAAGTTATGTATGCACCTCAGTGCTTTGCTGAATTAGAAATCTGCCCAAAGAACAGTTATGGTGAATAATCTAGCCAAGGCACCCACATCAGTGTGTGGTTAAGTACTGTAAACACTCATAAACTCCACAGCACGATCTGTAGTGTGGGGTATTACCTCATGGCTGGCTTGAAAATAACCTGCTTCCTTCACTCTAGTCTGTGTGATGTAGAATGAGGTTAGAAGGAAAACATAGAAAGCAGCTTGGATACTTTACCTGGAATGTGTCTCATGGGTTAAAAAACGGGCAAACAAAGGCACACCATGCAATCCACTCTCCTACGTCACCTGTGCCTGTAGGATCGTCTCTTGTTCCTTTAACATTTTGGCCTGGAGCTTCCACTCTGCAGCTTGGTTCAGGAGCTGTGTTCCAGACAACAGAGAGAAAATTGTTGAATACCTGGCTTGTCAGTCGTAAATCCCCATCCTCCAATTACACATGCTTCTGTCACTGCCCACGTTGATAAGGGGTGATCTAACTCTCTCATGAGGGCAGCAAGAGGAGTTATACAAGACAGAATGTTTAGTGCTATATCTGGAAGAATGGATGAGCCATTTGGCTAGAAATTGAATAGGAAATCAAACCTTGCTTGGAATAAAGTGTGCAGTATATTGTGCTCTAAAATGTGAGGCATTTAACTGTATCTTCATCAGACTTCTAGAGACTGGTTACAGCACCTGCTGGTACGTTCACCTCAACACAGCTCAGGCCAAATTCCTGCTATCAGGTAAATGGCAAACTCACTTTTGCGTTAATGATCAGGACTTAATATACTGAAATGGTTATAGCCAGAAGTGTCTCAGAAAAACCTGCTAGCTTTTAGAAAGGGAACTAACTCTGGTGTCTGTTACCTTAGAGTTTTATTTGCATTAACATGCCATCAGCAGAGAATCCCACCTCAGTGTGACAAATGCCTCACTTAGATCAAAGAGGCAGCCCAGGAAAAACCTGATTGCAGTTTAATCCCTGGTTGCGCCTGGGAAGACATTATCCCTGGTTCAAGGTATTTAGTAAATACGTTGGATGACATTCTCATGTGTCACTTGCACATTGGAGAATCAGTTGAGGTTGAGTGAGTTGTAGGAATGAGACGCAGAGACGCTTTTCCTGAGGGGGGAAAAAGTGCTTAAGATTGCAGTTCTGAATCAGCAGTTCCAAAGTGCATAGTAATATCCTAGCGGTAGGTTTATCTAAAAGCAGGAAACACTTACTGAAGTGTTAAAGAAATGGTTTAGTTCATCTACCGAACATTTATGAAGCATTACTTTTACTAGTGAGGGAAAAACTATTTTAGAAAAAAATGCTAGTGATGATAGCTTCAGAAATGAGATATAAACAATTTAGTTTACCGTAAGACTCTCTGCTGTTGGAACAAATTGTACCGTTTAAAATAGCACAGATGGGCTCTGAAAAATATATTGAGAGTGAGAGTTAGTCTAATATACAAGTGCACAGATCTAACTCTTGTTTTGGAAGTGAAAGTGAGTAAAACTGCACACAGAAAATGTGTTTGATCCCTTGTAAAAACCTTGATACTAGCCATTTTGTTGGAGGTAACACAGAAAAACTACTTGAATACCACCTGACAAAAAAGCTGAGGATGCACCTAAAAATACTGATTGAACAAGTGAGATATAGTGAATTCTCTCTCTGTCCTATTTGCAGCACAGAGACTATTTAAATTACACTTTTTGCCTATATATATTTTACCCCTACAAAAATATTTCTTCCATCCATTTGGCCTTTTGCTTTGAACCCATTAAATTTTCAGCATCTACAATTTCCTGGGCAAGAATGCTGCACAGCTTAACTATGCACTGTATGAAGAAACACTACGTTCTGTCTGTTTTTCATCTGCCACTTGATATTTATTTTGGTATTTTAATTTGATGCTGGCTTCAGTGAAGATAAGAGTCAAATTATTGAGTTTTAATCTTGTTGACTGAAATCTCAAAATTTCAAATATGTGGTGTCAGCATGTCATATCCAGTAAAAAGAGATGAAATGAATAGCTCTAGGTGAAATGAACCTCAGTTTCTGAGTTTCTTTCCTGAGAAAGAGTAAGTTTTACACATACATAAATCTTTTTAAATTTTTTGTTAAGTTTAGATGAAGTCTTTTTTTTTAAGTTTTACTTTTTTTTGATATCTATATGTTTTTGGGGGAATTACAGGGTGTTTGGGTTTAATGATTTAATGAAAATGCTCTGAAAACCTTCAGAGCCACGCAGTTTCTAGGCCAGTCATTCATTCCAAGGATTGGGTTTTGATCTTTATCGCTTAAATTTGCACGAGGGTAACCAGCTGTGTCTGGGAAGTGAAGAGGTTGTCCCCGTGTGTCGTTCCTTCCTCCCCCAAAGTCTTCTGCCACAGTACAACAGATGTAAGATGGACAGATGG